TTTAAAATGACGCTTCACCAGTCTGACAAATGGAAAGTCTACACAGTGGTTGAAAACATTTTTGTCCACATGCGCCCGCACACCTGATGGTATTTACACTTATTTATTTATTATATGCAGTTTAAAATGTTTAACCCGGCACTGGACTGCCATGTTAAAAACCCCAGGATGTATCTGTGACTACATGATATTCATGGAAGGTATTTGGACGACTGTGGCTGTGAGGGAGTGTGGTCGTCTTTCAACCAGAAGGTTGTGGGTTCAATCCCAGCCCATGCAGTCAACATGTCGATGTATCCTTACGGGCAAGATCACTTAACCTGTGTTGCTCCCGATGGCATGGCCAACGGTGTGTGAATGTGTGTGAATGTTTAGGTCCGTAGAGTAAGGTACACTGCTCTGTATGAATGGGTGTGAATGGGTGAATGACATGTAGTATGTAAAGCGCTTTGAGGGGTCTTAAAGGACTGGATAAAGCGCCTTATAAGTACACGTCCATTTTACCATTTAAAACGCGAAGTCAATGCTCAAAATCGCATTGTAGCTCAGTGTCGTGGCGCCATTGTATTCTTTGATAATCGACCACTACACAACACTGTTGTGCATTGTGAACCGTGTGCCCCAACAGGAGTGACAATTAGGCGCTGTTAGCTTAGCCAGCAAGTTTATCGTTTGTGCGTTGCAAATCATTACAGTCTGGTTAATTAACGCACTAACTATAGAGATTGCTTTTCTTTGACACCAGTATAGTTGTTACTGTATGTTCTATTAGGAAAAGGCGAAAACCCACATGTTTCATACCTTTTATTTGTATAAAGCTTTTTTACCTGAGCAAACGCTAGGTCCGCATTCCATGATGCAGCCAAGATCTAGCAAATTTTAAGTGCGAAAGTGTCCACCATTCTGGACTCAGCTTTTTGACAGTGTATGATGAAATCATTCACGTATCAAATTGTATTTTGCCATACTTAGCATTTGAAACATTCTTATGCACTCAAAATAGCACATGTAAGTACAGAAACACGCAAATGTTTGAACAGAAACAGAAGTTTTCTCAGCATAAATAAAAAAGTATCAGCAGAGTTTGCCTCCCAAATGTGCAGTGGGAGATTACAGTATATAAGCCTCCATACACATATGGACCCTGCTCTATCGAAATCAGTCGCATTGACCCGAGACACATTTTGAGTTGCATACACTGCTGGAAAGAGGATATATTCCTAGCTGTTCTTTCTAAATGATATCAGGATTGTTTTTTGTACTCCAAATATTAAGCGAAATATGTTCAATATTATATACATGAACTGCAACCGGAGGTCATCATTTTGAGAAAAAGGCCCTTCAACAGTTTTCTCTTCTCTGGAATCCATCGATCTGATTGAATTATCGGAGCAAATGATCAAAGATACTACGAGAGGAAGATATTTTCGTTTGGGATTGCTGGTCTGGGAGAAGCTCCGCGTGTGTGTGGTGTGTGTATACGTGTGTGTGTTTTGGTGTAATTTTGCGTTTGTGTGTATTGCGTTTGTTTCCCGGGGGAAACCCCACAGCAGAAACACCGGCCGTTGTTATGCTGCTGTGACGTTTAAGTTAATCCGGTTCTCTGCTTGTTAATATGCCGTTTACAAGCTTCAAAGTGTGTATTTATCATCTGAATTTGCGAAACCAAGTTTTAATATTCCTGAAGTCCAAGACTTTTTTTTAAATTGAAATCAGATGAAAACAAGACTGTAACGGACCGTGCCGTGTTTATTTATGATTACTCTTACGCTACATTCATAATGTCAGTCCGGGATGGAGGGGGAAGCGGCGCTGGTAAGAGCAGATTGCCTGTCATCTTCCCCTTTACAAGCTTAAGATGTATTTATCGTGTGAGTTTGGAAATAAAAGTTTCATATTCTGAAAGCGCCTAAGTACTTTGTTTGTTTAAAATCCAAAACAAAAACAGCCCGAACCCCGAAAAAATTAGTTTTTATGCAAATCCACGTTTATTTTGCAAATGGAGCCGTTGCTGGCACTTCCGACTGATTTCGTAGAGCGGGTCACATATTTCTTTGATTATTTTTAGATAGATAAGTCAAGACTACAGGCAAAACCTTGTTTATTCCCTTTAACTGATTTGGCCAAATTTTCTTCAATAACATACGTTGAAAGAAGACAAAAATACCACATTAAAGAGTTCATTTTAATAACTTATATTTGTTATTTCTTTGTTATGGATTTTTTCAAGATGGCAAGCATAAACAGAATGCATTAATCTGGCAAATGTAAACATAGCATTTAAGGGCAGGGGTGGGCAAACTTTTTGGCTCGGGGCACTATGGAGTTTTAACAATGTGTCAACGGGCCGAGGCCAGTAAGCAGATCGGTGAAAAAATATTTAGCTGCTCCACTCCCTCATTTATACACTCGGCACTCCATTGTTGACTTTTATTTTCTTTCGGTACCACTCATTGTTACAGGATGCAGGTTTTCAAAGGGTGAATTAGGTTCAAAGGGAATTATTGCGTCATCGTTTTGGTGTCATGACGTAACTGTTTACGTGCCTTCTTATGACCCACATCCAGCGTTTAACGTCGCTGATTCCACGCAACACCGCTCACAACAACATCAATAGAGGACTGCGTCTGGTATTTGTTTATTTACGAAGCCAGATTAAATTAACTACTTCTCCAACCTTATACCTTTCTCCAGAGTGCACGGAGTGCATTGTTTATTTAATGTGGTTTATGCTGCATTTACTGCCTTGCTGCAGGCTGCTTCGTCTTACCAGAGGTTTATTCTCTCCGTTTAACTCGGCGGCAGTGGCCGCTGTTAAAGTTTTCATTGTCTGACTGTCGACAAGCAGCTGATAGAAATCCCCTCATCCCCATAGTGAATGTGTGTTTAGTCTGAAGCTGTCTGGCATCACAACGCTGTTATGCAAGTCTCACTGGCGATTCTTAATGTTGATGTTAGCATAGCAACCGAAGCTAATCAGACTATCTTGACTACTTGCAATCATATTGTGGCATGTAAGCCGTTTTCACACGCATATTAGCGACTAGTTTTCGTTATTATTACTCGTGGTGGCCACATGTAGACCAGTGTATTGGATTCCATCGCGCGGTAACTGCAATAATACAAAGACAACAGGAACACGTCTGCCTCTTCACAATGGTCAATAACA